CGTACCTAAGCACAAACTATGGTTGAATTTAAACAAGCGTCTAAAGAATCAAAACCTAAAGTTAATAACGGTCAACAATATAATAAGATCAGCATGACAGTGAGGTGAAGAAATCAGTAATTAGTATAGAAGGAATAAATGGCACCTGAATTAAAAACTCTATTAGGCAAGAGGTGTCTACCCATATACCACAAAGGTCAGAAATATAACCCCAAAGGTTCTAAAGAGCTGAAAGGAAGAGTCTATCAAAATGAGACTGGCTGCTGGAAAAAAACAACACAACAAAACCAAAACAAATCCTCAGTGTAATTTATAGCTATAGAGTGAAAGAAAATCTGGAAAACAGTAATGCTGAATATTATCTAGAGATTAGAATTATTGCAAGTTTGCATCTGCAAGGGCAGCCAAGAGGTAAATGCAACTCCTGGCTCCACACACAAAAGCAGTACTTTCTGCCATCACAAGTTGATCACAACTAAAAGACCTAATCCAGCACTGCATACTCCCAACTTCCATAAACTGAACAATGAAAGTTTAGAGAGAATGATTATGGAAGAGAATCAGTGACAATCAGAAGCAGAAGAAACAAGGGCAGCTAAACGAAACAATCCTTCTTGGACCAGGAAACTGCCTCCAAATTTCTGTAACTTTTTCCTTCCAAGTTCAAGAAAATACCTACAGAGTTTCAAGCAGGGACAGGTTTATTAATTGAGTAATACTCAGTGAGGAACCTTTTCACCGATGAACTGGTCTATGCTCGTGTTTGTGACACCCCATAAAGTCATACCCAAATTACTGAGCCCTCACTTTATTCCCTCACTCCCATCAGCAGGCCTCCGAGGGCACAGCCCACAGCTATAACCATGGTGAAATGATATTATAGCGGAGCCGAGCTGCCTTTCAGTTGCAGAATACATTGTCCAGTCTCAGCTGATGACAGGGCTATGAGCACAAGAGCTTTGACACACACCTGCCTGCCAGAGGGCAAGAATACAACTGATCTGAGAATCTACGCCATAACCCGCACTCCGAAACACGACAGTTGCCCTGGATTAAGAAGGATAAGCAGGAGTTTAAAAAAACATCAGCATAATGCAGAATAAAGTTTGCATGTATAAGTGGGAACAATACCAAAAAGCAACGCCCAGATAAAAGGGCAGTGAAAACATACCCATAGAAATGCAAAACACACTGAAACAGCCAAACCACCCTGAAGGTATCACACACTCAGCTGCAAAAACCAAACCCATTAATTAAAAGCTAAATGGAGATAAATATATATGACTGTTTGACATACTGTGTAATCAATTACCTCGACAACAGTAATATTTACGGGATTGCATTGGAAGTTCATACACTTTCTTAAAAGAGTTTAAAAACAAATCAGTTATTGGATTTGTTTGAGACAAAAATACTGACTTCAAAATCTGATGTATAGAGTTATTGTTTCTAAAGAAAGCATATGTTTATGTACTGAACATGACGTTTCTCATCTGTTTTACAAGTCTATACTCCTTTAAAAAAAAAGTAGCTCACATTTTACATGTTCCATGTACTTACTAATTATCTTTACCCTCTGTCAACACAGAGCAGTAACTTTTAACACCATTTGCACAAATGAACGTCACACACGCATGCACCTCCAGGGTTTCTAAAATTCTGAAGAAAAACCTGACCTGGAGAGAGGTGTCATTTTATTAATTTAATTTAAACTATTAAACACTTTAGGGAGGAACACTGTCTTAACTAGCCATAAGGTGGACTGCACAACTGCAGAAAGACCACCTAAAACCTTAAGCACAAAGTATGTTTAACCCATCCTCTGCCTCTCTTTCATTTACCTGCAGACCATTTTAATTTCAATATTTAGCTCATTTTAAAGACATTTTTGTTTGACATTTATAGCTGGTGAACAGGACAACTCCTTTGCCTTGTTTCCTATAACTACATGGATACTTAACATCCAGGCATCATTATGTCTGTAAAGTTTATTAAACACCAATGGTTAAAAGCAACATGGTGACTTAGACATGAATAAATTCTAGGAAGAATTCCCAAACATTTTTTTAAGATATTCTCCTCGTATTTCAGCTAAATCTTATTTTAGCTTAGTTTTGATTTAATTTCTTTGGTAATCCTTTCTAGTTTCTTTCCATTCTCTACTATTAGGGGACTACTCTTATTAGAAAACAAATAATGTGGGTCAAAAAAATGAGTCGTCTTTTGAATAATATCATATTAAGAAGTCTTTCAAATAAACAGTGTTAGAACATCACTTCGTAATTAGGTGTGAAATTTGGACCACCTTGATTGGAAAAAAGCCAGATGTGAGCATGAGTTAAAGCACGACATTGGCATAAACTTTTCTGAACCTCATCAGTGGGAATTTAGAATTTCTGGGGGTTTTGGTACTAAATTTCAGAACACCTCCCAGATTATCCTTAGTAAATACACTTCACATGGAACAGCATCTTAAAAAAATCGAATAAAAAATTCCTTTTAGTTTTTCAGTGTAATAGAAAAAAATATTTAGTGGTAGAAGGTTGTAATACTGTCAAATGAATCTCTCACATTTTCTTACGTATGTTGATAACCTCTACCCCAGTTGATTACAAGAGATGCAAATTTGTCAGGTACTTTGGCGATTGCACATTCAACGTTTGACCTGCTATAAAACTCAGCTTGAATGAAGAAAGCAATCTTGATTATACACTACTACTCTATTAAATAAACTGACAAATTATTAAAAACAATCAATGTTCTGATGTTCCATACCAAAACACAATGTGTGATCTGTCCCTTTGGGAGATTGCTGCTGCACAGCCAAACTATTCTCAGAACTATTCCCACAGCTACTGACAATGCTGAAGATGCTAGACAGAGACAAAGAGCAGATATGTTCAAATGCTGCAGATACATTGGCAAATTCAGTAAAAAAGTTAGGTTAGCACGTATGATTCTATTACAAATGCTATAATACTGAAAGTCGACAATGCAATTTTACACATAACCTAATTAAATCAGAAGCAACAAAATATTTCGAAAAATAAATTTATAATTTCAAGTGAATTTTTGTGATAATGTAAAAAAAGTAATAAGTGGCACTGAAAAAAGTGTTTGCAAAGCTAACGAATTCCAACTGGTGGCATCACTGCTCTAATGCAGCTATAGCTACAAACGTAGGTGTCTGGTTCCGTACCATATCAAAGGAACTCTGAACCTGTCCTATATTAAAGCAAGGGATGAAGGACAAGGAAACATAGTAGAAATTCTACAAAATATCCTAAAAGGTAGGAAAAAATGCCTTTGTTTTTAAGGGATGAAACATGCAGAGAAAAAACTTACACTATTAATTTGGAGTCACAGAAGATGAATGAATGAGTTTTTGCCATTTTTCTACACTCTGAGGTGAGTACAAGTGGTATAACCACTGTGGAATGACAGACCTGGAAACCACTGCAAAACAGCCCAAGTGGTATTGTTTAAAAAAAAATAAATAAAAAACTCCCACACTTTAAAAGATTCTTGTATTAGTACTTCTGAAACTGTGAGGGTTTACGTAAGCTGTAACACCCTACACACCAATTCAAGCCTGTGTTCCTATCTGAGAGGAAATAATCCTGGATTTTGCAAAAGGTGAAAGGTATCAGAAGCCTTGTAATTCAAAGAAAATTTTCTAGACTGCATGTGCAGGAAGGAACTGGACCAGCAGATCTGGTCTTGTCCTCCAACTGCAGAACTAGAGTCTCATCTCTTCAACACGGGATGAAACTAGATCTGTAGCCAAGAAATGAAGCAAGGAAGAGAGCAAGGAAGGCCACTGCCCGTGGCTGCAGCCTGCAAACCCACATGGACGTAAACACAGCTACCACCCACAAAGCGAGATCAACGGCGCTAGGCAAGCTTCAGTCAATTAATGATTAGCCAGAATTCTGACATTTTAATCCTCAGAAAACAGTGCTAGAACTGGTTCTTCATCCTTTCAAAAATACTTAGTGGAAAGACTGGATATAAAGATTTCAAGAACTAATAAATCAAATGCGATAATTGTGCAGGAATCGGCATTTTCACCATCACCTGCATGCTGCTTTTAATGCATTAATCTATTAAAGATTTTGTCTTGTCACACTAAAGACATACAGATGGAAGCAAACCATGGAAGTAATGGGCTCTCTCCCTAAAACCTCTGAATGTTCAACTGCCCACTGTGAGATGGCAGAGAACAAAGCAGAAAACAAAACAAAAAGCATAATCATGTAGAATTATTAAACTGAAAGACTAAGCAGCAAAGGGAGGTTCATACGTGCATCCTGGAATTCTTAAGGGTGATCAGTCTTTTACTCTCTCCCCAAATGCTAGGGAGAAATAAAGAGAAGATGAAATTCCACCCCAAGGGTCTATTTACAGTCCACAGTGAAGAAGCCAGACTAAGGATTACATCAGTGAAACGAGTGAAAAACTGGTGGGACACAATTTAAAAAACTATCCTACTGAATAAGGTTTAAGTTGGCTTATTAACTGGCTAGCTGGGTAATTCGGGCGTTTTCATCCTCTTCTGCAAGTAAGGAACAAATCAATACTTGCAATTAAGAAATTCATAAACTAAACAAGCAAAAATTTAAGTTTTGGATATTAAATTTAAATAAATCCCAGAAATTACTAAAGGTGCATAAACCTGCAATCAGTTATTACCCAAAGTCTTCTGCTTGCTGCAGCACATTTGAATAGGTAGCAAAAAACCTGTTACTTCAACTCATACCCTAAATTTGCATGGTAAAGTATGCCTCAACAGGTACATCACAACCCGAGAGAAATGCTGAAATACTTCACCTCTTAACTAAAACAGTTTAACTTACACACTAAGCTGGCTTTCAGAATAAAAATTCCTTTGCATTAGTCAGACAGGGCTTTCATGGATTACACTGTTGGGCCCTTAACTCCAAGACAACTGCTTACAGAGATAATGCTTACAGTTTAACAAGAGAACACAAACTCCATACCTTTTGTTCCACACTGGTTAATAAAGGAGGAATATCGGAAGACGAGGAGTTTGGCAGACCCAGTGCATTGCAAATAGCTTGCACTTCCTGATAAATTTCATTATGCTTTTCCAAATGAGAGCCTTTAGTTTTCTTGCTGTGCAGTATCTTTAAAGCCTGAAGTTCTGTACTTAGAAATACTAGAGAGAAAAGTGTCATAACGGCAGATTTAGAGACACTTTAATATTTCTGCTGCCACATTCTCATATACAAATACAATATACACACTTCTAATAAGATCATGATAAAAGGGAGACTCTTTCTCAGTTCTCTCCTGGACAGGTCAGTTTCAGTTTCTCATTCTTCATCTGAACTAACCCTCACCTGAATTCCTACCTTCAGTCTACACATCATATTTAGCTGCTTAACCCACTTCCTCCCCCAGACCCCTCGCTCCTTGGCTAGTTTGATATTATCAGACTGGTTCCGGCTGCTATTCCATTCTTTTCCTGTCAGATCTCAAGTATTTGCAACCATTAATTTTTTAAGATAATCTCATCCCATATTCAGTCTCAACTGGTATTCCTTTGTCCAAGTCCAGCTAAAACCTAGACTTTACTGCTTTCAGCACCTTCAAATCATGTAGGGTTTTCTTTTAAGCTGCCCAGAAACCTCTCAGAAACACAGGAAGCAAGGTCTCCTGTTTCAGCTGACCAGGAATTGGATCAAGAGACGGATCAGGAGGCCTAAGTAGGTTGAGTCACACTTCACAAAGAAATTTTAGTTTCTATTAAAATAGTTTTTGAATAGTTTTCTATTTTCCACTTTTGCACAAGTAAGCTGATGCATGTCCAGCTAGGTTGTAATGATTGTCCATATATACTTAAATACACAAAGAACTTTCTACTGTAAATTGTACAATAATGATAGAGCAGGCATGTAAAATACTGTATTACAAAGGGAAAAGTGGTTGTAACTTACAGAGGAGTTTAAGACAATCTTCCTTATCTCTTAATCTGTCCTTGATGTCTCCAGATGTAAGTGATGAATACGGACAAGCCATTTCCCTCAGAAAGCCACTAATCTCAAGCTGGAAGCTCTCTACATCTTTATCACCTATGGGAATAAATAAATGCAAAGCTAATGGCTTTTTACATAAACATCAAACTGTAATCATATTTTCTTAATTTATACATTTAAATTGCAGGTTTCAATAGCCCAGACAAAGATTTATCACCTACCACCCTAGTAACATTTTCCTTCTTCTTAAAGAAGTGCTACATACAAGCAGGCAAGCCTCTTAATAGCTATGGCAATACTGTATTCATGTTTTAAATAAGGTGATGCTACAGCAGTCTTTGAAGACATGAATGCAAATGACAGAAATGAACCAGCAATTCATGCCCAGCAGAAGAACAGCCAATGCTTATTTTTGTTTCAGATCATAGGATCACTACCAAGTGAACAGCTTATGCCACAAAACAGCGCATCAATGTAATTGATTTTCTGATGAAGAAGTTACAGGAGTCATAAGCCCAATGGTTGTTTTTAGTTTTACTACCTTTTAGAGAAAACACAAGCATATAAAATCTCACCCAAGTTCCAGCACTCAGCAGAAAGAATCAGGTAGCCCTAACAAGCAAGATCACTTATCTACACACAGCGCTGAATGGAACACTGCATTGGACCAAACAGCTGAAAATACCAGGCACTGGAATTTAAACCATCAAAATAGGATTACACACACTCATAGGATGTATGAATGTACTTTCTACATATATGTAGATTAAAGAAAATATCCAAAGCACTTTTATTTTTTCTTTTGAAAGAATCTTCACAAGACAAGACTTTAATCTAAGAGCCACATATCAGCCTCAGCTTGGCTACCTTTCAGCTACCTTCTATATTTCAGCACTGCAATTTCACTATTAGCTGAACAATACGGGTCTAAAACCACTGAACAAATATTAAATTGCTTCAATAAATTAACATTCAAATACCATCTGTCGATGTGATGCTTTCTTCCACATTACAAAGAGACTTTATTTGGGAACCTAACCAAACGCAAAGCTCAAAAAATTCTGGTGAAGACAATCCATTTTCTGCTGCTTTCTTCAGGGCTTCCTCCTCCAACAGGGGACCCGTGTACCTGAACAGAGGAATACACATTAGTGATAAGAAGCAAGTTTAACACAAAATATACACACTTTAAAATCGTTTTAATATAAGCTAGTTAGTAACTACACTGAAATAAGTTAATCTTCTTAAGTTACTTTTGTACTTTCACGTCCAATACATGCTTAACAGACAGGAATTCAAGTATCACTTCAAGCGTTCAGTCAAAACAAATTTGCTTGCAACAACTCGCTGCCCTAGAGTACTTGGCCATAAAAGAATGGAAAATTAAACTAAATCTTACATTGTTCCTACTTTGTTGCATCTGAAGCACCTTCTCGGGCGGTAAGCGAGGCGTGAACGACCCGGGCGGGCAGCCCGGCAGAGAGGGTGGCCGGACACCCCCACAGAAGTGTTGCCGGGCCAGGCCAGGCCTTCCCATCCCCGACCTCCCACAGCGGTCGCTCCAAAATACCCGAACATCACCGCTTTTAAGCCCGCCAACAAACACCCACAAACCCCCACACTTCGTCTCCCCCCCATTACAGCCAGATCAAGCCCAACGCAGCCTCCGTGACCCCGCTCCCTGGCGAGACAAGAGGCCCAGCCCCGGCCGCTGCCCGGACACCCCCGGCGCCCACCGGAACGCGGGGCCCGTCCCTCCGTCGCCCCCAGGCTCTGTCAGGACCAGCGCTGCGCTCCGGTCTCCTCCGCCCCCCGCCTCCGGCCCGGTCTCCCGCCCGCGACGAAGGGGCACCGCTCCACGCACGACCGGGTAGCGCGGCAGCGGGCTCCCCCGGGCCC